AAGGCAGGCCCGGGGGTGACGAGCCAGGCTGGACGGTCACTGCCGTTGTCACTCTCCGCAGCTCGGTGGCTCTGACGCACGCGTTTCCCGCAGAGTCGTGACATCGCTCCTCTAGCTGCAATACGTTAAAAATACCGTAAGGAGTGGGGATCGGGCTGAGGCAGGCTGCAAGGAGAAAGGTGTTTGCTGGTACATCTCTAAACGCCCCGGTTTAAGAGCATCCCGGTTGCGGCACTTTGCAAGCTGTATTGCTTCCCAGAAGCGAAAGGCATACGATGGGCGGAATGAAGAAGGCATTATCTGGGAGGGGAAAAAAAAAAAGGCACAAAAGAGGAAGCAAAATGAGGTATCGAAAAGTTAAAAGGAGCTCAGATGCTTCGAGGCAGGCAGGACAGGGCAGTGGTTTTAATATCCACCATTCTATTTAACAGCGGTTTGGCTTTGATGGGTTCTCATCTGGTGCTTAACACGTTTTTCACCCCGAAGGAGCAGAACCTCTCTCCCACCTGGAGTGCCATGCTGACAGGGCACTTCAGCGAATTTCCAAGTACCATCTCTTAGACTCAATATTCTATTGTTTGAACCAAGGGTATCGCCTCCCCAAAGCAGCAGGTCTGCAATCCCATAAATAGCTTTTAAAAGCACTTGAGCAAACAGCACAGTCAAGTCTCTGGTCCGTGGCACTGCAACTACCCCCCGCCACTCACCACCCATTTCCTAGAGATAGAAAATAAAACTGCTTTGTAAGAAAAAGTCTGCATAAGCATGTAGAAAAATCCCCATTAACAGCAGAAGGGAAATGTGAAAAGAAAGACTTAAAAGACGTGTTGTTGAAGAAAAGCAAAATTAATTTACTTGTCTTCTGGTTCTCAGAAGCATCAAAAACCTCAAGAAAGTAGGGGCAGGGGGAGGGGGATGACAAGCATTTGGAAATTATACTGGAACTCCCTGAACAGGAGTTACTGGAATAATTTACATATGCATATCTATTTCCTGAATGGTTTTTACCAAAGCTGCTTTTTCTTTCTCCTGCTGTTTTTCCTGGGAACCTGGAAGGGAAGAATTGTTTCAAGTGCTTACCTCATCCATCATCATCTTTTAACTCTTTCAACACTGAAAAAGGAGATGCTTTCGGAACACCCCTACAATTTCTATACAAAGATACTTCCTTCCTTTCAGAATCTAGCCATTGAGGGGAACCAACGCGCATCAACTGACACCATGAAGCCAGTGTACAAAACTTGTTACCCCAAAATTCTATGCAAAAAAAAAAATCCATCTAGCTCAATATAACTGTGAAAAGTTTCAGTGCAGCTATGTAATGCCTGCTTTAACATGGGTTTATTTAAAATTATTTAATCTGCAGCATTAGTCTAGTGCTTGCCCTTACTTTAGCTAATTGAAACTAATTGGGCTGACCACAGGACATTGACATTACTTTCAGAATTGCCAGGCTTTTATGTCCCTATTTTGTGCCTGATCACAGATTAGACCTTTCTTTAGCTCACGCTCAAAACCTGAAAAGGCCCTGACAAATTCTCAGAAGAAAATGAGCCTCTTCAGTCCATACTGGATTGATTTAAGATAGCACACTGGAAAGGCAGCTCATTCATGCAACACCTCACTACAGCTTTTTTTTTTTCTCCTCTAAATATAGACATTGCTCCAAGCCTCAGCTACATCCCCAGTCATTCTTCCCTTTCACCACCGATCTGTAAGACATTGAACAGCTTCCTACCAATGTTTGCATTTTGCTTCTGTATGTTAAAATTTCTGCCTTTTGCAAAAGGGAGCTTGTGTGCACACAACAGCCCAGTGAGACCCATCACAAAGCTAACAGCACGTTCAGACATCAGTCTATTTTCACCATTTTAAGGTCTCCATGTGAAATTTTACAGCCCCGTCAAGAAATTTTGTCCACCTATTAGCCCCAAGTACATCAGCTAGAGACAGAAACCAGTATCCCATATCCTGTTCCACAGGCCTGAAAGATGAGCGTGATACACCATTTTACCAACTTAGTGCATTAGTGACACATGACACGTACAAGGAATCTGTGTAAGCATTTCTGTAACTTTATTGACTAGCTTTATTGCACATACTTATTGAAGCCTCCATTATTATACCCACCCAAGGTTTCCATAATTATTTTAAATGCAAGTTAAAGATAACCTTCATTCCCATGACTTATTTTTTCCCCCCATTTTAATTGTTAAGGTTCTGAATCACCCAAGAAAGACATAACCCCTGAATTCATACGTCTAGACCATGCGGCATTCAGGGAGCAAGCCAGTGGGTGCTCTGCAAGCATACTCATACTCTGCACAGAGAGAAACATCATAGATCATTAACTTTAAACCTCAGTGGTCACTGAATTAAATATGTGAGACTGCAATTTTAGCTCAGTCAATCATTGTTTATTCTGTTGACCTGAGGAAAGCCAGACTGCCTAAAAATCAAGCCTTCTTCTTCACTTCACTCTCTTCCTTTCCTGCTGCTTCTTTCTCTTCCTTCTCCTCCTCACCAGTTTCCTCAGCAGTTTCCTGAGACTCCTCCCCTTCTTCAGCTGCTGTTTCTTCTCCTTCCTCTTCCTCACCCTCTTTGGCTTCTTCAGATTCTTCCTTAGCACCTTGGAAAGACAAAAAGAAGTATTTCACATCTACATACTGTTCCTAATCACAATTTCGCAGGAGCCAGCATACCTGCAACCTTCAACCCCACACATTTGGATGTCAGCCAGCTACACATGACGGGGCTGGCTACTGATTTTGCATGAAAGCAGGGACAGTTATCAAAAGACTTGCAAGGGAGAACAACAGAACTCCACCACCAACTTACCGTAAATTCAGAGGGAGTGGAATACTTCACAGGTCTTTTCAAAAAATCATGGCCTTGAAAAATATCGACTGTGGACTCATTGCTTTAAGCCTACCCAAAGACCTGAGTTCAAAACAGGACCTTGCCATTGCTTTCTGATGGCCTCTTCAGCTATCATTTCATTATAATCTTTACACTAATAAACTCCTAAAATAGTTCAACACTAACCAATGCATTTCAGGTATGTTTAGGTTAAATCCTTCAGAGCTGAAGTTGGGAAAAGCAGTTCTGGATAACATTCCTTTTAGATTTTAATATGCGAGTTTGGTAAATAAATTATAGGACAGCAAGGAAGTGCCATATACTTTGGCTGAACAAGAAAGCTACCCAGACTTTAGGCAACAGATATTGCTATCCACTGAACCCAAGAGTTCCATCCACAGACACCAGCTGATGTTCCTATTATCATGGGCTACTCTCTGGGAATTAGTATTTCACACAGGATGTTCTTTTTTTTGAGGATGTCTGTAACAGCTAAGTACTGTTTGCTGCCATACAAGTATAACATTACACGCTGTTGAAGTATTCTCATTCTTGGTTTTGGAAACTTGAATGGAAAAACATCCAGTGATTTCCAAGGGAGTATAATCAGTCCCATAATCTGCCTGACATTGAATGTTTACTTTGTCTCCCATTCTATATCCAGGCTTTCCTACCTAAACGCTGTGTGCTTAATGCCACGATCCTTTGCTCACACGAGCAGACAATGAGAGGTCTAATCATTGCACTTAGTCATCAGGACTTCTGGGTTTTACTCCATACAAGGAGGGTGAAGCATGAAAGAGAGGGATTTGAAAGTAACTGTAAGTACCTTCCTCCTCCTCTTCAGCCTCTTCACCTCCTGCTTCTTCCTCACCTTCCTCTTTCTCTTCCTCCTCACCTTCTTCTGGAGGGGCTGCCTTGGCTTCTCCCGCTTTAGCAGATTCAATTGTTTCCTCTATTTCAATCTGCTCTTCCTGGACATGACTAGAGTAGTATGTGGGGAAGGAACGGGTTGTCATCAAGTAGGAGCTGGATTGGAGGCCACTGTAGGCAGACCTGCCAAAAGTCGGGGCAGTCTGGGTGTAGCCACTGGTGATGCTTCCAACACTAGTGAAACTGAGTCGGGTCTCTTCACCTTCCAGCAGTTTCCTAGCAGGGAAAAAGCAAGCAGAAGCGACTTGGTTATGCTGCAGCAGTAATCAGCTGATTCAGCTACGGACCAAGATACTATGATGCTTTGAACAGCGTAAGACCTAGAGAATCCATACTTAGGAACACAAAAACTAGCCGGTAATAACTACGTGGCAATGCTACTCTAGCTTCTTGGAATAATTTAACAGGTTTCAGAGGTGTGCATTATCAGTGAATTAATACTTTCCCTTGTTAGAAAAGTAATGGGGGAAAAACCTCTAGGATTAGGTTCCTACAGCAGGTGAAGGTGTATTTGGATAGCCTGTAGGGTTGCAGAGAAAGATGCAGATGTAACAATTTGATGTTATGTTTAGCTATTAGACAAGGTTTATAGCCACCTTCTCAATATTCCCCCTTGTGGCATTCATAGAAACTCTTTCTGCATTTGCCATTTCTAGCAGTATCTGGGACAAAACACTGAATGGCTATTTAGCAGCAATTCTGCTGTAAAAGGTTTGCTTTGCAGGAGATTGGGCTTTGTTTCTAACTCACAGAAGCATTCTTAAAAGCATGTAATGCATTTCCAATTTTGAGAACAGCCATCTGTTTTAAGAAGTTCCACTGATACAAAACCTCTTCACTCTAAGTACAGAACAGGTATTTTTATCTGTAAAGATGGAGAACCGAGATCATATATTGCTGAGAGCTCTGTATACACACCATTATACTCACTGAAGTCTGCTACACTGAAGATTTTGCTTTAAACAAGTATTTTGCCTCAAAAGCACCACTTCCTCCAACAGAAAGACAATAGAGAAGACCTGATTAAACCCTGACATCTATCTATGAAAATTTCTGCTGGAGGAATGATAAATCAAATTAATTCTCTTGAAGGCAGAACAGGAACCCGATCCGAGTTCTGACTTCCCAAAACAGTCCCCCCATCATACCTATATGCTGCAATTTCGATGTCCAGGGCCATTTTCACATTGAGCAGATCCTGGTATTCCTTCAAGTACCGAGCCATTTCACTCTTCGTGGTTCTCAGCTCGTTCTCCAATTTGTTGATCGTATCCTGTTGGAAGTAACAACATTGACAGCGTAAAATTCTTAATTCTCCCCTGTCTAGCAATAATGCCTTGCAAGGAATTTCTCCAATCCTATTAACTTAATCTTGCTCTAGCTGACAGCGAAGACCAACAGCTCCGACTCCATCCTCCGCCAGAAAGGCGCCATTTACCAAATCCCCCCTTCGCCTGGCAGGGCTTTCCCACCCCACTACCGACAGCCTATTGTTCCAGCCCTTTTTAATCTTACGGGCCCGATTTTCTGCTATCTGAGGACTAAAGCACGCCTGAAATTTGTGTATCGCTTCCTTTTGGTTTTAGCCTCTACGTGCTTTTTCCCGTCTTATCTTAAGGATATCTTTTTAACAAGGATATAGTTACGGCTCCAGCGGTATACAGGTACGCGACACACCGCGCAGGAGAGCTCTGTGGCATGCCGCACCGCGGTTTTACCTTACAGCTTAGACCGGCAGCAGAGCCGCGGCGCTTAGGCGGGAGCTAGAAGCAACGCCCTGTCTCCGGGATGCCCCCGACAGCCTCCCCCCGCAAGCCCCGCACCTGCAGGGCGGAGATGTCTGCGCTCTGCTTCTCTTCCAGCTCCTGCAGCTGCTTCTCCAGCGCCTCGTTCATGCCGCGGGTGGCCTCGATCTCCAGCGTCTTGGCCTTGAGCAGGCGGCGGCTCTCGGACACCTCGTCCTTGGCGGCGCGGACGGCGTCGGTGTTCTTGGCAGCGCTCTCGCTGAGGACGGTGAAGCGGCTGCGGAACCACTCCT